GACAGTCACCGCTTAATCGATTTCTCTTTTCATTCTGATCATTTATGTATACATTTGTCTATATCTATCTCGATTCGTTTTGCCTGTTACAAACAACCGTTATGTGAACAAAGTTATAATACCCTTGTGCACAAGTGCGCTCGGGTATAACAAAAGGAAATTGATCGGCAAGTGGTGAAAATGATTGTTAGGGAGTACCATCCGTTCAGCATCGTTGAAGACCCGGAGTTCCAGACTCTGGTGCATATGCTCAATCCCAATTATAAACTCCCCACAAGGAAAACTGTGTCGTCCTCATTAATGCAAACCATTTACAATGAAACTGTTTAAGCAGAACATTTGCTGTATGTTTGACAATGGACGGATGGACCTCTCGGGCCCAAGACTATTTCCTTGGTGTCACAGTTCATTACATTGTTGATGATAACAATCGCATGAATTTAGAGTTGGATTTGTTGACCTGGGTGTCATATTCAAAACTGAAAGAAGTTTTGCTAGAATGGGAGCTGAATAATAAGGTCACAGCTGTAGTTACAGACAACGCAGCCAATATGAAGGCGGCAGTTCGTGGAGGACAGTGGCGGCATTGGGGATGTTTTGCTCACATCCTAAATTAGTTGCACAGTCGGGCTTAAATGAAATGCAAACTATTCTAGATAAAGTAAAAGCAATCCTGCATTTATTAAAAAAAGGCTCGCATGCATATTCACAGCTGAAAGGCACCACGGCTCGAATGCAGCTACCAGTCACAAAATAATTAGTGATGTTCCCACGAGTTAACGACGCTAACCTAAACACTAGATACATACACATATACATATTATCATTATTCACGAACCAAAATACATACAAACAACTATATGCCCTTTAACCTTGTATGATAACATAATAACAAAGAGAATACGATAGACAAGTATAAACCCGTAAACATCTTTTTAATAACATAAACAATTATATTCGGTGATAAGTAACAAAGCATTATGATAACATAATGCTAAACATGTAAACATCTTTTTATCACCAAACAAACAATAGTTAGAAATAGTATAAATAGATGTAAGTGTAAAAATGGAAAACAGTTCTGGAAATAAAACGAGACTGAAATAATCTCTTGTGTACTTTTAATTCCTAACAAGGACTCATAACTCACGCGATGGAACTCAACGTTCGATATGCTAGAACGAATTCTGAAGATGAAAGATTTCGTGATTGTAACTGTAGCTGTCGTACAGTCATCTGGGCAAGTGAGAGATGAAGTACCATGATAAAAAAATAGGAAAGTAGAACCGCTGAGAGGAATTTTTGAAATTCTTGACGTTTGCAAACAATTTATTTTTAAAATTTTACGCACACACACACACACACAAACTCATTTTCAATCTCAAACAACAACAACTCTGAACAATTCCTTGCGCACTTGTGCACAAGGGTATTATAACTTTGTTCACATAACGGTTGTTTGTAACAGGCAAAACGAATCGAGATAGATATAGACAAATGTATACATAAATGATCAGAATGAAAAGAGAAAT